TCACCATTCTCTTTGCTATTCGCGTATTGTTATTCCTAGCGCAATTATACTATCGATTACGTGGAGAAACGACTATGGATTTACTCGAGATTAAAATCATGGAATAGATTATTCCTGGTATAGTTACTCGTGTATAAATTGAAGTTTGGTCGAATCGACCCTAAGTTTGGTAACTTTATAATTTTTCAGTATTAGGTACTTGTAAATTTATTTTTGTTGATTTGGTTATGCACTTCTTGCACTTTACCCATTATATTTATTTTCCTTTTAGTTTTTTTCCTAAGTAGGGTTGCCTGGAAGAGATCGCTTGTTATTATTATGCCGCCCGTTGCATCCCATTAGAGATAGATTATTAAATTTGTGTTCTTTGTTTTTATTTAAATGTAAGGTTTAAGTTGGCGTCTGATAGATACCGGTGACCCCAAAGCTGATGCTTTCCTCGCTCAACGGAGTAGGATAGTATTCAGACCATATGTTTTGAAAACAATTATGAATAACTTAACTGTTCTTTATCACATTATGATAATTAATATGACATTTGCATTTCTATTTTTATATGACTGATGTTTTTTTTTTATAATCAATCTGAATGTACCACACTCTTTGCAAATAAGCGATTTATTTATATTGGTCATATTTTTAACCGTTTAGCATTATTACGAAGGTTTTTTACGATAATTGCAAATAAAATATGTAAAACCAATACCTTTTTCTCATAAGAAAATGTGCACCTATTTTCAAGGCAACAATGCTACATTAGTAACATACTATATTTATCTTTGCTAAACCACAGATAACGACGAATAAGGATTATGTTATATTCTAAAGAATCCTCGCGTAACTTTGCCTCTATATACAAGGTCGCATGTATATGTGACGTCATCATTTGATAACTAGGTTGAGGATATATATCTATGTTACTACTCTATATAATACATGTATACAGTGTTCAACGGACATAAATTATTTTCATTACTAGCCTCTGACCGCAGCATAATAATAATAGCCTTTCATTAGATTCATTTACATTTAAACTAAAATTCAATTTTAATCCTCTTCTAGTGTATCTGTGTGCCCTTTTTTGGCAAAGGCCTCCTCCAAATCCCACCATTCCTCTCTGAACTTTGCTACTCTCTGCCATTTCCTGCTGTTTCTTTAATGTGTACTATCCACCTTCTGAGTTGTCTCCCTCTTTCGTTTGATGTACCTTGGGCACCTGTTTAGTAGTTTTTTGCTCCACCTTTCTGTTCCTCTTGGCATGTGCCCCGCCCATTTTCACTTTAGTTTATTTATTGTTATTGTAATATCTGTTACTTTAGTTATTTTTCTTAACGCTGTATTCTTTATTTTTTCTCTTCTTTTCTTCCCTATCATACATCGTTCCATCGCTCTTTGACACATCTGTAGCTTTGTATACTGCGCTTTAGTAGGCGCCCAAGTTTGTGATCCATATGTCAGTACAGATAGTATACTAGTATTGAAGAGCTTTCTTTTAATTACCATGCTAATTTTCTTATTTTTCATGAATTCTTTAAGCGCTCAAAAGCTCTTCTATGCTTTTGCTATTCTTTTTTTGATTTCTTTTATTTTGCCGCAGCATAGACCTCTTCAATAATATTATATTTCAGCCAATTCACATAAATCCATAATTAATATTTTACACCTAAACATTTTGCCCTAAAGCAGAAGTGGCAATGGGCGTGGCATATAGCAAGATGCACAAATAAAAGATGGACTTTAAAGACAACTATGAAAAGGAGCAAGGGGAAGAAGGAGAAGAGGTCGTTCCATAACAAGGTGGATAGAAGAAATAGAATCGTTAGCAAGAAGCGAACGGAGAAAGAAAGTCATGGACAGAGGTATTTGGAAAAAGCTGGAGGAGGCCTTTACCCGGCCTTTACCCGGTTCCGACCAATGATACTAAAGGAAGTTAGGATATTAGGATAACAAGAAAAAAAATTATACAACAAGCTAAGCTGTATATTCTACTTTTGTAATTATTGGAAATTAAATGGGCTTTATTATTATTAAACCGCTTTGAACCACACTATCTATTGATTAAATCCATACAAATCTAATCGGTAGTTTTTGAGTTTATCGCGTTCATACAGACAGAGAGACTCAGTCGGGAGACTATATTTAATAATAAAATATATTCACGTTTACATCTGTTAAAGAAGTGTGTTTTAGTAAAAGGTTGGTTTGTCACTTTTAATATTAAATTGCATTAAATTATCGTGTTAATTGAAACACGAGTTGACCCGTTAACATCCTTGCTGTGAATTGTGATGCACGCGAACGATAAACTTTATTATAACTATATTAAAAATATATGTATCGTCAGTATAAAGCCTGACACTACTATGTTGGTTACTATGGCTACCACTTTTATACGAGAACAACATCGTAACCATATGTTTAAGCTAGGGGAGCCCAAGAGGGGATTTCGGGATTTACTAAAGCGCGGCAGATTAATATATAGGGGGATACCTTGTACCCGGTTAAGTACCTCCACAAAATATGAGGCCCATATATAAGGCCGCACGTGAAGGAGACAGGATCAGTTTAGTAAAAAAATTGACCATCAGAAATTCCCGAGCGCGTCAGATTAAGGTAGGGTGAGTTAATTACATCCTAAAAAGTGTATATTCCACTAATCTGACAATTTGAGAGTGACGGAAAAAAGGGGAGGGCAACAAAGTTGTAAAAAAAAACGTCATCTCGACATTCTCGAGCGTAGCTAATTTTTTTTTTATTTTGAAGGAAATAATTCAAGAATAATGAAAAATATATAATCTGACGATTTCCGCAAGCCGAAATAACAAAAATTCGTCGATAAAGTTAAATGCGTGCAGCTGCGTGATGCCTACATTTCCTTAAACCGATCGGAATCTACTAAACGGCGTTCTAAATATTTCCCTCAAAATTACATTTTCTGTGAATTTGAACCGATTCGGACCGATAGATTTTGAGAAATTTTGAAAAATCTTAAAAAATAAGAAATATTTTTTTTAAAGTGGTTTCTTTATCGATCAACTTCAAAAACTAATCCGCCTTTGAGCTTGAAAAACCACGTCGATCGCCACCAAGCTGGTCAAAAGCGGTTGATTCGTTCGAGAGATATCGTACACGAAAGAAACCCGAAAAAGTGTTTAATCGGGATTACTCCGAAATTTGTGGTTCGATCAATTAAAATTGCAAAATCACTTATGAGAATGATAAAACTGCGTCGAATGCCGCCAACCGCGTGAAAATTGCTTGATCCATTCAAAAGTTATTGAGGTTTGAAAATTCCAAAAATAGTGTTCTATGAAACTTCTATCAGACTTTCGAGCTGGGAGAGCTCAAATGCATAGAAATGTTATTTCTTTGAACTCAGCGAGCTCAAAATATCAATTTTAAGCGCCCAGGAATGGAATTAGCGGGAAGTTGCAGGGATGGCCCTTTAGGTGAACCGTTTTTCTATTTTTTTTTGTCAGATCAGGCGAATCCCTCTAGATAATCGTCAGATTATGAGACAGTACGTTTAGAACATAAAGAGGAACCACATATATCTTAATCTGACGCGCTTGAGTATTTCAAAATTGCGATTTTTTTTGCAAATTAAGAAAATGGCTGTGGGTTTGCGTCCCATCGAAATCGTCAGATTAGTGAATGAGAGCTTTTTTTTGGTGCACTTAACACTCCCTTAGAAAATCTGACGCGCTCGATAATTTTTTTTTTTTTTTAATTTTCAACCCTTAAATACAACCACCCGCATCATGCAAACGATCAGATTAACATACGTACATTATTAAAAATACGTAGGGCATAGATGCTATCAATATCTGACGCGCTCGAGGATGTCCATGCAACAGTTTTTTTTACATATTTAACTATCTATAGCCGCTTCCCCCACCGATGAAAAGGAATTTATCACATAACATTTTTTTCTTCTTTTTATCTAAGCTTTGCATCCCAATAGGTCTCTACGACGCTCGAGTAAATCCCCATTTAGCATCGTGGGCTCCCCTACCATTAAGCTAGGTAAATAAGTAAGATTATTATTGATTATATACGATTAAATTTTTACAAAAAAGCTTACGTAAAATAAATTAAATGTATAGTAATATATGTTAATTACGCGATGTTGTACCATATGGCTTAGTAAAATATCAAGGAAATGTTTACCCTAAATAAAAATTACAATAAAAAATATGTTTATATGCGAGTCTGTCTCGCAGATTATCAGCTGATACTCTAGAGCGAGCAAAGCAAAAATTACTGTAAGATTCTTCTGTACCGTATTCACTGACGTACTAAAAGCGTTAATCAATGTGTGAATTGGAGTCATGTTATGTCACGCTTAGCTTTTTTCAAAATGACACTAGTGTGATAAGGACATACAATTCAATAGGTTTACTTTTATTAAAAGGAAGATGAATAAAAATGATACTCACTTAGGATAATTTATTAAAAACTTCACACATTTATTACAGACTTAATCTTAATATATTAATAGGCAGAGTTAGTGTATCATCATATTATGATAGAGCTAAATAATGTTTACAAATAGTAAATTTTAAAATATAAAACGCCTGATGAAATTGTACGAGCAATTCCGTACTTTTATACTTTTCGTAAATTGCCACTAGAAGTATAAGTAAAGCATACATTTCTCCTTTTTTAATTATAACAAAATTTTACTATAAGACAGTTTTTATTTTGAAATTCATTCAAAACAATAATATTCTTACTATTTTTAACTCATTACGTGTTTTTATTGCATAAATATGTATTTACATATATTTTTCTGCCAGTAATAAATTACCTACTTGCATCTTGCATTACATTTATCCAAATGGAATATCCAAACACGAAATACTACATTTTCCTAATCACAACCAAAACAGGACATTGGGCAACCATCACAGTTCACTTGAGTAATAGCATATCTAACTTAAAACATTATCAATACTGAAATAATATATTAATAAATTCGGTTTTATCACATAGGTACGTTACACGGAACTTACTTTCTTTTCCAATAAACTTAATTGTACTTCTTTATCTGATGTACTGATACCCTTAAACGTATTCTCTATTTCAATCAAAGTCCTATCTTTTGTTTCAGGTAACAATACATACATAACCGACAGACAAAATGTTAATGTAGCGGAATAGACTAGAAAAGCACCCTCTACACCTATTGACGAATATAAATGTGGTGCTGTCTTCATAGAAATCACAAAGGCGGGTGTCAAAAAAGAAGTAGACAGCGTTGAACCTAAACTTCTGTAAGCTAAAGGAAATACTTCGCCACATATGACCCAGTTTAACGGTACAATACCTATACAAAATGAGAAAGTATACGTTATCATTAATACCATAGGTAACACATCAACCAACCACGCCTGGTTCATATATCCAGAATTTCTCGCATACATAAACACTGATATTGTTGTCAGAGACAAAACTGTCATAACACCACTGGTGAATAAAATTGTCCTTCGCTTAAAATTCTTTAGCAAGAATATCGCTAAGAACGCACAAATTGTTCTTAAGAAATCAATCACAGTGAACTGCCAAGTGACATCAGTCAAGTTCTCCTTGTTTAACACTGCTTGAAGGATGACATTTCCATAGGCTGCCAGCATATGCGCACCTCCAAATTCAAATACTATCAGCATGCAGATTGCGACGATCGATGGCTTAAAGAACTCTTTCTTCTTAAAGATCTTCATTATACTTTTGAATGAATTCAACGCGTACCTCGTTATACTAAAACTTCTATAAATTTCCTTTCCATTCCCATTTTCGTTCAGTTCACGTTCTTGCGTCTGTATCATTTTTTCTAATTCTTCATTCTGTTGCTCCCCATCACCACGAACCCATTTAAAGGCCTTTTTAGCTTCTTCGAACCTGGATTTGGAAACCAACCAGTATGGTGATTCTGGAGAAAGACTGATGATGACCATTGATATAATTGGGAACATGGAACAGACAATCGCTGTATTCTTCCAAGATAAATAGGCTCCCCAAATATGGGATAGCAGAATTCCGAGACCTAATGAAATCGCGAACGTTCCCAAAAATGCCCCTCTGTACCTTGGTTCAGTATACTCAGCTACCAGAATTGCGGCTAACGGAGTTCGTAGTCCTAATGCAAGGCCATGGAGAAATCTAGCAAGGAGGAACATTGGGACTGTATTTCCAAATATAAAGATTATCCAGCCGAGAAGAGCAGGTATTGTAGAGATGAAGTGTGACTTCTGTCTGCCAAGTTTTGACATGAAGACAGGTGATATGAAGTTACCGACGATACCCATGAGGCCAACTGATGATGCTGAAAACAAAAGTTAAATTACAATGTATTACAAGTCAATTGCTAAGGTGATCTGACTATATCATAATATAAAATAATGTATATGTTTCTTATTTATAAATAAAAAATAAATGATTTTATAATACAAACATTAAGTAGGTATGTATTAACTGAATAAAACTCAAATACGTATAAGTCGAAGAAATTATCACTTTTTATTAAAATATATTATACTAATTGCCTTTTGTTTACTTATTGTTATTATAATACTTTGTCTTTCAGAATTAAAATATACTTCAAATCTACAGTCAAGTTTGGATAAATAACACAAACCTATCCATGAAGTATCATGGTCAGTCAACGTGACCGGTCCACCATCTCGTATTAACTGTGCAAACAGCACAGCTGGGTAGCCGTGAGCGCAGCCATGACCGACGATGTTAAGCGCCGCACCTGATACCACGAAAGCCTGAAATGTAATTTAAGTAAAAATTATATTTGGATCAATTTTCCAACCTATATTAACTATTTGTTAAAACTATTTAGATAGTACGTCCATAGAGTACCGTACGTATAGAGTTACAGTCAAGATATTGGTAGATGGGTGGATCTCTCTACCATAGACTTCTTTAAATGACCTTTTTAAAAGTCGTTACTGTTTTAACGCCTGTTGTAAGTTTTCGTGCAAAAGCTTTGTTATACAGCAGTCGCAACAGTCACTATATAAGCAAATATATAAGACCTAATTACAGAGTATTGTATGAATAAATATATTTGTATAGACTTTTTGTTTTCCAAGGACGTCAAGGCAGAATACAAAATACCATCCATATCACCTCGACAAACGTCGTTCCACAACTGAGCGTTTCTTCTGGCAGTTTTTGCCGCGCACCACCACTGTGTGGAACCAGCTATCCACTGAATTATCTCCGAACCAATTCGACTTATATAGGTACCGCAGCACATCTTTTAGAGGTAATTTTATTTTGGCAATGTTATATTTACTATGAATTATAAGAGAGGAAATTACCTGTTTTAAAAAAGTCTTCATCTTAATCGACTACATGTGCAGGATTCTGAAAAAAAAGTTAGAAAGTTAATGAAACGCTGTTAATTTAGATTTTAATAATCTGTAAAAAAAAGAGTTTTCTATTTCGAAGGCATTTTTTTTAGCTACACTAGATAAAAAACATATATCGCAAGTACAGATACCGGCAAATGTAATCTGTTTTGGCTTTCTATACTGCCTATGTATTTTGTTTTATAATATGTATATTAGCTGTAAGATTACTAATAAATAAATCATTTTAAATCCAATACAACATTCTCTCTACAAATATAATCGATAATAATTCAAAATTCCTATCCGCGATCATTTCTATCATGCTTTTCCTCTTATTCCCATCTAGGCCTAGGACTTATTAATCACATAATTGATATTTTAATTTAATATTCAATTGCTAATTGATTATTATCAATGAATCTATTATTGTAACAACTTTGTCCTTAACTGCAACTCATTATGCAATAAAAATAATTACTGGGACTTGTTTACACGTTTTGTATAATGATGTTACATAATGTCCAAGAATACGATGGATAACTGTAAATATGTTCTGTAGTTCTTTGTTTAATGATAATAATAATTTGTTTGTTTAAGCTATTAGCTTATTAGCATTATAGGTCCATATGGTTTTTATTGTGTTAGTTGCAATATCTCTATATATATAAAATTCTCGTCTCACAATGTTCGTTGCCATACTCCTCCGAAACGGCCCGACCGATTCTTTTGAAATTTTTATGCATTCAGTAAGTCTGAGAATCGGATACTATCTATCTTTCAAACCCCTAAGTGATAAGGGGCATCCACCCCAATTTTTTATTATTTAGAATTTTTTTATGTTTTTTTTTCACCCCTCTACGATCAACCCCTATTTTTTATTTGTTAATTAAAATCTTATGACTTGAACTCTAAAGTTTATGTAAAGAAATATTCACAGAAAAACCTATAAAGTTTTCATTCCGGAAAACCGAACAGTCTCTGCGGTAGCATAGCAAAATGTTCCATGTTGGTATGTACAAAAAAGGTAGGCTTAGTAAAATCACATTAAAGAAATTCGAAGTTCGTGGGAACAGCTAGTTATATTAGTAGATTAACTTTAAAGTATATTTTTTACATAGAAGTCAACTTCGAAGTAGAATACACTGTATGCCTATATGTTAATTATTTCTTTTTTTATAAAGATGAATTTTGCAATATTTGTGTATGTGAGCACCATATATCTACTTAATAATATGGTTTTCTGCTGCACCTATTTTTATAACACCATGCGCCTATTTTATTTTAGTATAGTATTTTTTGTTCTAGGTACATGATCTTCACATATAATTCTCAAATCAATGGATACAAAATATTGTACAAACTATTGTAAAAGAGTAACTGCATGTGCCCGTTTTAATATTATGATTCAAAGTCAAATCATTTATTTCCATTTGGCCTATTAAAAAGGCACCTTTGAAAGTCAAAATTAAAATATAAAAAAATCACTCTAGTTGTTCCAAAAGGTAGTTTCATATGGATAACAATGACGTTTGACGAGTATGGAGATTCTTGCCCATTGTTATCCATAAGGACAATCCAGCCTTCCCGCTATTACCGCCAGCGTGTTAGGGCTCCCCTGAACATAAACACCGTCCACTTCTGCACAACCAAACATTGTAGAGGCATTGCAGTAGCAACTTACATCCTGAACACATACATTTTTTTGTATAAAGCAGGAACACAGGCTTACATAAAATGTTATACAATATGTTCTAAAAAGAGTGAATTTTACCTCACGCGAACACCGGCTAACCGCCCAATGACCATATTATCGAGGTCTATAACTATTTAATATTCTTCTCGATAGTATTTTAAAAAAATATCTCTTTAATTGTTATTTTTGTTCTGCGAAACATCTATTAGCTAATTTTGCATGTTCCATTGGACTTTGGATATGGCCAATTAAAATCTACACGACGTAGTCAATGTCCCGTCTTAAGACCAAGAATTAAGGCCTCCCCAGATATTTTTTAATTATTATAATTTCTTTATCTTCTCTAAAAATACTGTATCTCCAAGCACTATATTGGTTATGGTTGAGGTGAGTCAGCCCGTTGTAGTACATTGATATTTGTAAATTATGAAAATGAATGTCTAATGGCATATTACTCGCACACACCGCGTGAAATTCTGAATATAAAAATGACCATATTATCTCTTCAATTGATATTTTTGTCCTGCAAATACATCTATTTGCCAATGTCCCATTTCGAAAGCGATCAAAGATTCAACAAACACTTGCCGGGAACAAAGGCTGTTTTGTAACAACGCTTTAGTCTGCATTATTTACGACTTTATTGTGACATCAGTAGATCTAACTACTGACTAGGAGCCGGTGTATATTGTATTTATTAAACAATATTTTTGTTGATATATATTGTTTTATCTTAAAATTCATTAGTAGTTTAATTTTTAATATTTTACCTACCCTTCACCTTTTTGATTTTTTAGGGATAAATAAACATTCGATATTTTAAACAATAGTAGTACAAGCCAGGTTCTTCCCTCGTTGGGGTAATTTGATCCATTTTTAAGCATTATTTAACTGAGATATTTATAGTAAATATTAGTCAAAGTCAGTAACTTATATACTGAATGAAAATAAATCACGTCGGTCTCCGCAACAGTTTTAATTTTAATTTATTATTTATTTTAATAGACCCACTAACAGACACTTGAGAAAATAATGAAAAAAAACAATATAGCTACAGTGATTTACGTAACATTAAAATACATATTTTTTTTGTAATGGTATATAAAAAAATGATTACCCCACAAATGTTTTATAATTTTTTTCTATGACATACATATACACATATATTATAAGTTATACGCTTACTGTACTTGTGCCCGAGTCTTTCATCATTTGGATAACTCTAATGTTTATCTGTCTATGCTAACCTCCTAAAATTAAAATTAAACATTTAACTCGAGAGTTAAACTTTTCTATTGCGTTTGAAGCTTAATGATGCGATAAGGAAGCGATATAAATAGAATTCAAATAAATTGAAATGACCAATCAAGCCAATAATTGGCACAAATGCGCAGACGCATCGCTTTACGAAAATAAACTTTTTTTATGTTTCACGTATTGTCAGTGTAATTGATTTCCGCGTCAGTTTTTCATATTTAATCATTTTTGATAGATTGTAAAACCTTGATAAATCGATCGTTTTACGGTGTTTCCTCATTTCTTGTTGAATATAGGTATTATTATTTTTTTTTGTTTCGAGAAAAACAAATAAAGATTGAAGGTATTACAAATATCATTGTTTTTGTGATTATTCAAAGCCCTTCAAAAGAAAAAGAAAGGGGTAGACATAAAACGTCTCGTAATTAAATGCTTTACGGATTGTTACATTTAGAAATCCAGCATCAAGTCTAAAAGACGCCATGTGTTAACAGTCGTCTTCTAAACTTCAAAATCAAAGAGACTATCTCTTTAAAACCTAGCAAGTCTCACGTGTATTTGTATCTCTTTTATTAAAACTTTCCCCGTCTTTGTATTTATATAAAGGAAAAAAAAAAAGGATTTTTCAAAAAAAAAAAAAAAAATTGTTTCTCTGAAATACAAAGAAACGACATTTTGTCCATCTCTTTTACTAATCCACTAAATTACTTTACGTCATCCGCCTTTTTATGGGGGTTTTCCCCGGGCGCGCAAATTCAAAATAAAAGAAATATCATTCCATTACATTTATAATTATAATTTCTTGTATTGTATTGTTTTTCGTGTCCTGTGGTGTGGTGGTTCGATCTAGAAATACTGTATCTCCAAGCACTTTTTTGGTTACGGTTGAGGTGAGCCAGTCTGATTTGGCACTGTACCTGAATTGATATTTGTAAAGTACAAAATAAAAGTCTTATGATATGAATTATTACTTTGCGTAAATACTACTCGTTTGAGGTTACTCAAAGTTTTAATAAATAAGAATGATCAATTATTTATACAAATAAACACGACTATAGCTAGTTCTGGTTTAAAAGTATACTCTTTTCTTTATCGAAGGACTAAAAATGAACTAAAAATAATATTTATTGCTAAGTTAGCTTTAGTAAGTATTTTATAGTTAGTAAGTTTATATTATTTTCAAGGTTTTAGAAATGCCCAATAAGTATCAGATAAAAAAATGTAATATATTACGAAAATAAATTATTTTTTTATACACTTTTACATTTTTTATATTGTAGAGCATAAATAGTTTTAAAAAATTACAACATTATAACGATGTTAAAGGTACACTGCCAAAGGGACCAAACTTTTTATATGTGTTTAAATTTTTCTTATTTATTATGTAATGTAATTAATGCGAATATATACGTAAATAAATAATTTAATTGACCTTAAGTAAATAATCCTTTGTTATAAATTATTAATGAATGACGACTTCTTCACGACTCTTTGAAACCTTGTTCTTATCGGTTATAAATCAATTGATAAACTTATTTTATTTAAACATGCAGATTTTGTTTCCGTAGTTGCTTACGCAATTTATTTTATCTTTTGGGCCGTCGGTTCGTTTTCCCGGAAAATATTTGATTAAAATACTCACAAGCTTGGTATTTGTTATATAAATTAAATATAATGGTAGACGCAAATCTCGAAGACGACAAATTCGATAATTTTTTAATTTATTCCTTAAACTCTGAGAAAGGTTTTTATGAAGAGAAAATTTAAAAACGTGTAAAATTTAGTTTTATTTAATACTTAGTTTTTATGTCAAGTTATGCTATATTCAAGTCAAAATGTTCCATATGTTGGTATGTACTAAAAAGGTAGGTTAAGTAAAAAAATCATATTAAGGCGAAACTAATTGCGCGGGAGCATTTTGTACAGAATGAAATGCGAAAATTGTTCAACAATGTCAGAATATCAAATTTAAAACACTTTTTAATTTTTAATTCATTTACATTGAAAATATTGAATTTTAAAACCAGCGGTATCTTTT